TGACACACACACACACACACACACACACACACCTGCATACTGGCACTGTATATATGTTATCATGTCTTTTGTCAACCAGCATGACTTTGCTGCTCTCTGCATTATCAACCTCATCTAAGCCACTTATACAACTCTGGATGAGAGAGAAAGAGAAAGAAAAACACGAACTGAAGTACACGCAAGAAAGAAAGGAAGATGGAAAGATTAGAAGTTTGTGATCACTGCGACAAATAACTGAAAAATACTGCAAATAATAAATCAAAATGGACTCACACTGCTCTATGATCGTGATGATTCAGGCAACATGTCTAAAGATAATCTTATCCAAATGTATATGTTGTTTCCATGCATGAATAATTAAATAATGGATGAATAAACACTTAAGAAAGTTCAGCACTGAATCACCAATCTTTAGGTTCGAGAAAAAAAAGTTTTAAAAGAGAGAATGATAAAATCCATTTGTTATTTTCTCCATATAGTTATGTCAGCAAATTACACCAGAGACAGAGAGGCTGAGAGAGAATTCACAGAGTGAGAGAAACACTTGAGTGCTGCTCTTCAGTGCAATAGCTGATAAGATTATTCCCATTCTACTACTGTGTATGTGCGTGTACGCTGGTATTTATGCGTCTATAAGGTTTGTTGGCAGTTTCAGGTTTAGGATTAGAATTAGGTTTAGTGAGGGTTAGGCATTTAGTTGTGATGCTTAAGGTTTGGGGTTAAGGAATGCCTTATGTCAAAGAGTGCCGTCACTAAGATTGATGTACAATGTGTGTGTGTGTTTCGGAAATGGGCAGCATCATATATCTAATTCCAGGGCAATGATACACCAGCTCTCTGCCGTCCCATCATCCCTCACTTTCTGTCAGTTTCCATCTTACTTTTCATCTCCCCGAACTCCCTGAATTACCTCCCTGAGCCTTTTCAACAGTCAAGTAGGTCTTTACAGCTGAACGTGATCTAATATAAATGAGTGAAAGTGTGTGTGTTCACAGGTGTGTGTTTTGAAAGATGATTGTGGGTAAGAGTCCTCTGAGCTCTGGTTACAGTAATACACTGTATGTGGGCCCATATATAGGTATTACAATTTGTCTATGTTCAAGAAATTGTGTATGTGTGTGAGATTTGAGCTGTTGTGAGGTTTTGTTTATGTGGGCTTGTGCATTATATTTTTGACTTGTGTAATTTGGCAGCAGAAGTGTCTGCCTTAGATAAGGATCATTCCAGCTTAGTTTTATTAGTTTTCCGTGTGTGTTTTGTTGATGGTCGTTGGGGTAGAGGGGTAGGGGCAGTTTAGAAAGTGTGTGTGTGTGTGTGTGT